AGGGTTGCAATCCCATTACCGGTCAGTAAAAAAGACAAAAAAAGGAAAAAAAAAAAAACCACATGGAGATACCTCACTTCAGTTAGGCTGGCTATTGTCAAAAGACAGAGAATAACAAATGCTGGAGAGGAGGTGGAGAAAGGAGAACCTTCCTTCATTGTTGGTGGGACTGTAAATTAGTACAGCCATTATAGAAAACAGTATGGAGGTTTCTCAAACAGCTACAGATAGAACTGCCATACCATCCAGCAATCCTTACTACTGGTTATATACCCAAAGGAATGGAAATCATCATGTCAAAAGGCTACCTGCTGCACTCCCATGTTTATCTCAGCTCTATTTACAATAGCCAAGCTACAGAACCAACCAAAATGTCCATCAGTTGATGACTGGATAAGGAAAATATGGTATATACACATTGGAATACTACTCAGCTATTAAAAAGAATAAAAATCTGCCATTTACAGCAACATGGATGAGCTTAAAGAAAATTATGTAAAGTGAAATAAACCGGGCATAGAAAGAGAAATACTGCATGTCCTCACTCATAAGTGGGACATAAAAATTAAATAAGTAAGTAAATAAGAAAGAAACAAAGAGGAAAAAAAGAATCAACAATCACAACAATAAATTGAAAGTTCAGAATGGGAGAACAGAACTGGAATTACTACAACTGTCAAAGGGGGAGCGGAGGAGGAAGAGAGAAGGTGGTTAGTGAGAAATTAGTTAATGGTCACAAAGAATGACTGTGTATTGTAATGATGAATAAGCCAATTATCCTAATTTGATCATCACATATTACACAAAAGTATATATAGTCAACTGTGTACCACACAAATATGTATAATCATATCACTGAAAAAAAAATTTTAATTAAAAAAAAAGGAATGTAAGGAAAAATGAAGACATTCCTGGATAAAAAGAAAGCTGAAAAAGTTTTTTGCTAGTAGACCTTCCCTACAAGAAACACTAAAGGGTATCCTTCAGATGGAAATGACAGAACACTAGACAGTAGCTCAAAACCATATGAAGAAATAAAAAACACTGGTACAGGTAACTACATAAATAAACACAAAAGCCAGTATTAATGTGTTTTTATTATAATTCCTCTTTTTTCCCTATATGATTTAAAAGACAAATCATAAGCCAATAATTATAATGGCATATTAATAGGCACACAATGTATAAAGATGTAATGAGTAAGACAACAACGTAAACATGGAGGGACAAAGCTGTATTTAAGCAACATTTTTACATACTATTGAAGGTAAAGTGGTACTAATTCAAAATACTGTTATGAATTTAAACGATTAATTGTAATACCTAAGGTAACCCCTACAAAAATAACTAAAAAATATACAGAAAGGAACATGAGAAAAAATGAAGATGATAACCACACAAAAAATTTTTGAACACAAAAGGAGGCAATAACAGAGGAATTTTAAGGAACAAAAAAAGATAGAAGACATATAGAAAACACAGCAAAATGGTAGAAATTAGTATGATCAGATGGGATTTATCCCAGGAAAATGAGGGTTGTTCAACATATGAAAATAACATAATGAAGAAAAAACCCACATACTTGACAAAATCCACTACCCTTTTATGATTAAAACAACACATAAACTAAGAATAGAAGGTGTCGGGCCTTAAAAACTAACGCCACCTTAAGTGACATTACAAGCGATGCCATTATGGGCCCACAAGGGCGTATTAACGTGGCAGCCTAAGATGGAGCCGGGAGGAACTACGGTGGGAGTGTCTGCGGGAACCTTGCCCCAGCCCTTATTGGCCAAATATGTGCTTCCGTGCTCGTGGACACTGCGTGATTGCAATAGCTAGGCATTGAGACAGGATGCATGCTCTCATAACCTTTAAGCTGATTGGAGGATGTAAAAACCGCCCTTCCCCACTTGCCTTGGGGCCGGCCCCATGGCGCACTCGGGAGAGTGGGGCACTGGGAGCGCAGCGATGCTCCTGCCGTGGGTTTGGATCCTATATAGGACTGGCCCGTGCACTCACTGGTGCGCTCAATGGCTGAGCGCGGTGTGGGCAACACCACACCAAGGGTTGCAATCCCCTTACCCGTCACTGTAAAAACCGCCCTTCCCCACTTGCCTTGGGGCCGGCCCCGTGGCGCACTCGGGAGAGTGGGGCACTGGGAGCGCAGCGATGCTCCTGCCGTGGGTTTGGATCCTATATAGGACTGGCCCGTGCACTCACTGGTGCGCTCAATGGCTGAGCGCGGTGTGGGCAACACCACACCAAGGGTTGCAATCCCCTTACCCGTCACGAAAAAAGACCCAAAAAAAAAGCAAGTGCTTGTGTGATAATAAACGGAACTGCTCAACAGAACCCCCACTGAATCTGAGTGTTCTTTAACGGGCTGGTTGGGGCTGGCAGCTGTGCTCACCTCTCTTCATGGCTCTCTTCCTCCATCTCCTCCCAACGGGACGGGGAAAGAGGAATCTGGGCAATCCGCCCGCCCACCAGAAGGGACACCAAGGGAGAGACTGATAGCAAGGCAAGGGCTGTTCAGGTCAGCTGGTGGCAGACCCGACAAGAAGGGATCTTCCTCAACCTCATTAAGGGTATTTATGAATAACCCACAAGTAACATTCTAATCACTGGTTAAAGACTGAAATCCTATTCCTATGATCAGGTACAAGACAAGGATGCCCACATTCACTACTTCTATTCAATCATCATTGAAGTAAAATATAAAATCTGCAGGTTTAAAAAAATTTTTTGAATTACAGTTGGCCCTCTGTATCTGTGAATGTGAAACACATGGATATGGTGGGTTGACTATACTATGCCATTTTATACAAGGGACTTGAGCATTTGCAGATTTTTGGTATCAGTGGGAAGTCCTGGAACCAATCTACCACAGAAACCAATGGAACACTGTAGTTAGAAAGAGTCATTAAGATAGTTAATTTGAAATTCCTATCGTAATAGTTTTAGAAATGTCATTTAGGATTTGTAGCTCCTTGAAAATTATATTCTACTGGGACGTTTTCAAATGCAATCAGAACTTTATTTACTATAGAAAGAAATTAGGGGCATGTGCAGTACTTTTAACAGGCAGACTTCCTATAGGGGCCCTAAAAGAAACAAATCTAATATAGTCAATAGAATTGCAGATATTCTAGAAAATCTGTACCTGGGTATACTGCACTTAAAAATTATTTTTAAATAACAACGTATACACTTTATAAGTGTCTTAAAGAGAATATATGATGATTTAGCAATATAAATTTAATAAAAGCAAATTAATAATATAATAAAGACTGTGTAAGAAATTAATGTAAATTATCAACTAATCTTAAAAAAAAAAAAGCTATTATAGACTGCCTACTTACAAGTGAGTCATTTCAATTTAATATAAAACTCCCTCTTGGGCCGGCCCGGTGGTGCACTGCTACAGTGCGCCGCTTGGGAGTGCGGCAGCGCTCCCGCCGAGGGTTCAGATCCCACATACAGATCGGTTCCCGCTCACTGGCTGAGCGAGGTGCGGGCGTGACACTGAGGGTTGCGATCCGTTGCCGGACACAAAAAAAGACAAAAAGGAAAAAAAAAAAAAAAAACTCCCCCTTGGGAACCATTTGCGATAAATTAAGAATTATACTTAAAATAATAAAAAGATATTAAATTAATGCATAGTGTTTACTATTTTAAACTGGTCATCTTCCAATTAGTTCCAGTGAACTCTACTATATTTTCATATCCTATTTCAAAACTGGGTAAATGAAAATCACTTCCTCCAATTTACATTTAATGGCTATTCTGACCTACACTGATTGGCTAACTTTATCCATGTTTTCATAAGACAGGATAAATTAATGTTATAACACACTGTTATAAGTACTATGTTAGACATTTACCTCTAGAATCAAAATCACACTACTATTCTTCAAAACAAAACAAAAACAAACATCAATTGGTCTTTCTATCAAAAAATTTTTTTAATTATGTTAATAGGTTCTATAGTACCCTAAGGGCTCCAGCAAAATGTGTCAGCTCTATAGAAAGGGTTCTATTGTCCACAGTTTTGAATAGGCTATAGAGAGACAGTATTCATACAATCAGCTTCCAAAAGTAAAAATGATTTCAGAAAAAGAAAACACAAAAGAAAACAAAAAATGTATACATGAGGAGACTGATAGAGGTCTTCATAAGCTAACTAGAAGAAAATGATTTTTCAATCATACCTATAAAATATTTAATCAAGAATTTAAATCAAATACATATTTTAACACATTGATAGTTTGCTTTCATGCTGCTCTTAGGATCTAGCTTTAAGATTACCTTATGTCATAAAATATCCCATGATAGGATTTTCTAGTCACCTATGTAGTCTTATAAAGAGTTTTTAGCAAAAATGTATACTCTTTGATTTATTTTGATACCTGGCCCAAGACAGATTCACCTTAAATTCTACTCCAATAATATTCTCATTTTTATGCATGTGAGAACATACCTGCCAGCCATACAATCATTAAAAAATCCAAAAAATAATATATTATACATGTACATTGTATTAGAGTAGCATAATTAAAGCACTGATCTATTAATAAGAATAAAACTATGCTTTTTAATACTTACCACAAGCTTTAGAAGCAGCAACACAAATTTCTTCTGCAACATACTCCCCAGCTGGAAACTTCAGGTAATCTCCCTCAGCTTTCTCAAGGGAATGATAAAGATACACCTGAAGAACTGGATCTATTTGTTTCACAGAATTAGCATTTCCAGGAATATCACCATTCTGATGCACAGGAGATGTGGATGTTCCTTCCATTTCTGTCATTGTAAGGCAAGCCATTCCCATGCAGGGTCTTCTTCAGAACATTTGTCTGTAAGAGAAAACAATAAAGTTACAAATGAAAAGCATATTGATAAAGTGTCTTTCATGCACAAAGAAGTCTTTGACGGCAGTGACTGTCAAATCTTTTAACTGAATAAATACTGTGTACTACTACATACAAAGCACAGTGCAAGAAAACACAGGTTAAAAACTTCCTTTGGGGGCCAGCCCAGTGGCGCACTGGATAGTGCACCGCTTGGGAAGCGCAGCGGCGCTCCCGCCCGAGGGTTCGGATCCCACATACAGACCGGTTCCCGCTCACTGGCTGAGCGAGGCGCGGGAGCA